CCATGCAAAATGGTGTGGAAAGGATAAAACTTTGGGGAATTGCTACCAAAAATTTTGTTAAATTTGTTTTCTGACAAGATAGTATATGGAGATCCTGAATCTACTTGCAACTGACTACCCTTTCTGTTAATTTCGACTAATGCGATGATTACCTTGATCAACAAAGGATTAGCTACTTGATTTACATGGCCAACTGATTGATGCCTTTTCTGATTTGAGATGAAATGGAAAAAGAATGTTTCTCTGAACAGTATACTTTCTGAATGCTATCTGGTTTTCCACAGAGGAAGCAATTATTCTTTTTGTACTGGCATTCTTTGTGATTATGCTTCCCTTTGTAGCCTTTACATCAGGGTGTCCAGCCCACGGGCCGCATTGGAAGTTGCCATGGGCCACATGCAGCCCATGGCAACTTCCAATGCGGCCCAATAAACATGTAAACAAAACCGACAAATTGTTTTATTTTTTATTTATTTATTTATTTCAATGGCATAAACTCAGAAAAGAAGTTTTACAAAGCCGTAAACCTTTATACATATTTTATTTTTGAGTGGAAAGGAAATATTTTCAAATAATTGGAAATGTGTGAATGAGGAAGGTATACTAAATAAACCTGGAGTTGTGACTCAAAGGAGTATAGAGTCAAATTCGGGGAAAAGAGAGAAAGGCCAAAAAATAAAAAGTAGTGACAAAGATTAAATAGACCTTATGTTATGCACATATTGACCCTTGATTTTTAATTTTTTTCACTTCTTTACCTTTCGTCCTTTCTCTCATTTTTGTGCTTTTGGGTCTATAATAATCCTTTGAGTCCCAGCTCCAGCTTTATTTAGTATTCCTTCCAGCATTGCAAGATTTGGCTACCCTTTTATTAGTTAGGCGTAAAAAATATCATTTTGTGCATTCGATACTTTTTTGGGCTACATATTATTTATAATTATATTAGTTGAATAAAAATACACTTTAAAATGGTGTTTCGTTGTTTTTTATTAATTAGAGACCCAAATAAAAAAAATAATTGTGTTTTTCAAATAAATGTTTCTTTGTCTCCTTTATAATAAATTATCTATTTCTAAGTAAAAATTGAAAGTGTCTGTAGAAGTAATTTTTTAAAATATCCTTTTTCTTAATAAAGTTTTAATACTTATTACTATAATCTCGACATGTTAATCCTTAAATATACAGTAGAACCTCGATTATCCGGACTAATTGGGGATGAAGGTAGTCCGGATAAGGAAAAATCCGGATAATCGAAACAAGCACTTTAATTTGCCTTTTAATGATAATGCAACACGTTTTCTTTTCGATGACATATCGGTAATATTAAAAGTAAATACTGTATTTAAACCGTGATCAAATTTTCAAAAAACAAACGTTCGTATTGAATTTGGACTACTACTGACCAACGCTAACAGACTACCTATTGTTTAAAAGGCCCTCTGGTGGCGCAAGAAGACGGATTTTATGAAATAAAAAGCAGTTGAAACGTTTGATTTGCCTGAGGACGACGTGCATATTTACGTCGAAAGCGCTCGCAAGAATAAAATATTTTAATTGTATTTAACGCCTTAGTGTCTGAAGTTTTTGAAGAAGCTTTAATTAAAATAAAAGTTGGCGTGACATCCAACCTCAATACGATTTTACTACTCCTAACAGTTGAAACTGCATTTTTATGAATAAAAATTTGACAAACTATTTATCGTTTTATGAAGAGTAAAATTTTTTTGTCACGTTCGCGGCTTTTAAGTAATGCATAAACCTTCGAGGCGCGAGACCCTTCGGACCGCGAGGCATAGGCGGTGGCCCATGTCGTCCATGCCTTAGCCGCCCTTGGTCATAGAAATGATGTAATTTGAATATAAATTATTTATAAATACGTATGTCAAGTTATATTTTTATTACTACGTAAAATATATTTAAGAGTTTACAACCACTGTGCTGGATGAGACGTTGTTGAAACAAAAAAGTTATGCATTCCATAACGTACACAAACAGTGTCGTAATTCGCCATGTGCAAATCAGCAAATTCGTAAAATTTTTGTTTATTTTGAACAATCCGGATAATCGAAAATCCGGATAATGGAGGTTCTACTGTACTTGTATATTTAAGGATTGGGCCAAAACATACTTGTGTCACAAGTATAGTATATATAATATACTTGTGGCCCAAAACTCCATGACTTCTTACAATGTGGCCCAGAGAAACAAAAAGGTTGGACACCCCTGCTTTACACAGATTTACTGACTCTGGGTAGCTCCTATGCTTTTAAAATTGACATTATCTTCCTGATAATGTCAATTTGCTATTGTGTCTATTGCCTTATTTCCCTTTGATCTTGATTAAACATACTTCTGCTTCAATGTCAAGTTTGGCCTAACTTCTTTTGTATAGCAAACAGCAGCTTCAGTGTGTCTAAAAATGATGGGGGGGATTTAAACGAAAAGGTGACAAAATGTTTAATTCTTAATCTAATGTCATCCTTGTTGTCAATTGAAAGATTCCCGTGTATCTTACCAATTTATATCTGAGGAAGGAAACAGATACCTGTCGTTAACATGTTACACATTTATTTGCTATATATTATATGTACAGAATAGGACCAAAAAAAAGATTATAGTTCCCCTCCCCTCTCCTTCATTACCCACTGCACCGCTTGACTTTCCTATGTTACATGTGCTGTGAATGTAACATAAACTGTAGGGTGGATAGGGCCAGCTAAGAAGTGTAAACCTTTTGGTTTTGTTCATTTCACAGTTTAGTATTTTTTATAATATTTCTATAATGTTAGCAAGTTTAAAACTAAACCTTAAAAACCTTTAAAATGCAGTGTTTTTATTTCCTTGTCTAATGTTTTTGGTCAGTTAATTGACCACCTTCAGGAAAGAATCAAAAAAATTCCAATTTTTACCGAACAAAACCTATTATGGAACACTTTTAGATTTTTTAAAAGTATTTTTTAAAGGAAAATTTAAGAAAGTATGGCTTTACTTTGCCTATAGCCCCCAACCTACACTACGAAGAGTGTTATGTAATGATGGAGACACACTCACATTAAATGAAAAATCAGGGTCTACAAAATTCCATTACAATAATTGGGGGAGGAAATTATTTACATTAGGGCTACTACTAGAATGCTACAGTCTCATATCCTGAAACATCAAGATGATATTAAAAACAATAGACTAGCAACTGAGTTATCTAAAAGGATACTAGACCAGGGTTATCTACTGCTTTGGGCACACACCAAATTACTTAAGCAGTGCAATGATCAAAGAGAGTTATTTATATGGAGGAACCTCTATATATCTGCAGTAACATTGTGCAATACACCGACCATAGAAATCCTGTAATCACAGTTACGGAATTTTTATAATCAGTGTATTGCACCTTATTCAAGTGATTTAATTTGTAATTTTGTATTCACATGTGTACCAGAACTATATATGGCTTACTAAATTACTTTTTAAGGGTTTTTTGGAAAATTTGATGTCAATTACTTCGTACTTCTATAGTTTTTCAAAAATATTTCAATTTAATTTCAATTTGTTCTGTATTCCATCCACATGCCATGAATAATTTGTAAAAGTCCATTTGAAAATCGAATGTTTGAAAATTAATTGTATTCGATTTCTTTTTTTCCTGAGGATAGTGGCTGTAAGCTCTCAAAAGTACTAGTGATTACGTTAATAAATCATGATTGTAATGCTGCAACACTATTGTGTTATTTTAACTACAGTATAACTTGTCTTTCTGCTTCTATTCCATTTTTCAAATATTGATATTTAACCTGTTCAAACACTGTTATTCTCTAGGAATGTGATAATTCTTTATACAGTGGGTGATCGGTTAATGAACATAATCCGTTCCAAGACTTTGTTCGCTATCCGAATTGTTCATTAACCGATTATTGATTTACGATAGCTTTTAATGGGAATTTAATTAATTCGTTCTGGAAACCCCCAAAAATAAAAAATATATATATACTTTCTTACTACGTTTATTTATATGTAATAATAAAAATACCGTACATACATACACAGTCTTGCGTTTTTACTAGTTATGTTTTTTCCGTTTGAAAAGGTTAATTTAATCCTCTTTTTCAGAAGAAAACATATCTTGCCGAGTTTCTTGGTGTTCTTCATTCAAGAGTTCTTGGCGTTCTTCTGTCGTCAGATCCGTTTCAGGTTCCATTATGAACCCTTCTTTATTTCTCAGATGTGATTGTTGTTACTCCTTTAGCTGCTTGAGTCTTCTTGATTATACAGTATTTTTCTTAAATAAGATTGAATTGCAGCCTACTGTAGACCTGTTCATGCCATACTGCCCAGCGACATCAGACATCTTCTGCCCACTCTCTATCTTTTTGTTATTATACTCTCACCTTTCAAAAAGAAAAACAGATGCAAAACTTAATGAGTGCATACCCAATAGTCTCATGAATACATAAAAAGAATTGTTTTGTCAGAAAAATAAAAGGCTGGAATTACAAGGGAGAGTTTCAAAGTTCGGAGGAATACTATCCGATTGGTATATACCGGCTTGAGCATCGATGTCGACGTCTCCCACACTCCGAAAAGTTTCGAATTGTTGCCCGAAGACAAGAGAAGACCAATCAGTATTCATTATTTTACATCACTGCTTCTTGTGTTTGTTCTGTGGGGTGTTCGTTATCTGATCATGTGTTTGTTGTCCAAACATAAAAATCTTTTGTGTAAGTGTTCGTTATCCAATTTGTTCGATATGTTTTTTTATACATTGTTACTTTTTGGTTTTAACGGTAATTCATTGTAGGGACTTTTGTTAATTGGGGGATGGATATCTTGTTGGCTGACAGTTCATAATTATGTATAAAATAAATAAATAAAATAAATTTTTCAATTAATTTACTTTTTATATTTAAGTGATATTAAAAATATTTAATTAATAAAATGATGATATAATACATAAATTTTTAATAATAATAATGTAGAGAATTATAATATATTTTTAATTTTTACAGATAAAAGCCAAAATGGAAAATGACTATTTAAAAAAGAGAGAGGATTTGCATATATTAGATAATGGATCTATAAATACTTCTGTTGAGATAAAGGATAAAAATAATTTAAAATTTTCCAATGAAAACAACTGTTCTTTTGATAAAACATTAGAAGTTCATATTCCTAGTCCTGATGATGCAGCTCTACCACATAATGCAAATCAAGATGGCTTAACTAAGAAAACTATAAATGGTATTGTTCTAAAATTATTTATTATAATTTAGTATAAAAATACATGGATTTTCATAAAAAGCTTTTATTTAATTAGTGGCGTGCTGTCATTGGAAGCAGTGGAAGTGCTGCTTTCCTTGTATTTTCTAAAAAATAAGTACATAGTGTGCGATTATTTTCATATAATTAAAATTAATATTTTATTATAACCATATTATGTATCTTATTACAAATTTCTATACTAGATGTGAAAAAACGATAAGATTTCTATTGTATATTCGAATATTAGTGGCGGAATGGAAGCACTGCATTGTCAGCTTTCAAACAGCCAGATTATACTCATTCACGCATGTGCTTTACAGAGCACCAACCTCACCCGGTTTAGCTGGTGGAAGCTACACATGTATAATGCTTCCAATTCTATCCTGGACCAATTGTGGGCTGTTAGCCGCCTGCCTGCTAGATATTTGGCCAGCCTCGCCCCATTATGTGAATTGCAGGTAGATTTATAAGTTAACCCAACCGATAAGAATTGACTGGTGTGTTTTTATGATAGTTTTGTATAGTTGACAGGAGTTTTAAAAAAATCTATTAAAATATTTTATATTTTTATTCCACTCTCCCATCTTATATTGCTTATGGATTTCAATGTTAAACCAGTGATATTATGATTTCGTATATCCCATCTATAAGGGGATGTAGGAAAAAACATGTACAATTCTTGTACAATGTTAAAAAATTAACTGTTACTTTGGCAGTGTTATTTACAACTAAATTTAATGAATGAGAGATGCACGAGGTACAGAAAAAGCTGTAGAATTTATTTTCCTTAAATTTACAATTTATGTATCCATTGTCATAAGAATTTGTCTTTCCCCTTTTTTCCCAAGACTACAAATATTTGAGTACAAAGTAACCGGTTTCGACTTATTTCTACTTAAGAAGTAGTTAAATAATTAAGCGATTAGGGAATCAGGGACATAAATAAAACCTTGCTGAAAGAGCCGGAATTTTACTTAAACAAAAGCTTAACCAAGCCAATCTCTTGCCGAGTACAGTGGGGACTGATTTGTTTGTAATATTAGATGTAATAAAGACAAAAATTTTTCCAGTTGAGTGTGACCGAAAAGTTGTAAAATTTGGAAATTTCCATGGGCACCTCGTCTTAAAACGAATTAGTTAGAAAACAAATGACAATTAAGTTTAACAAATTTAGATTTTTACCACTATGGTAAGAAACGTTTAAAATCTACAACAACCCTGTCGTGTCCTTTGATATATACTAGTGATGTGACAAAACAGGTATTTGACATTGACCGGTATGGGCACCCTTGGGATTTGGCAGCCTGCGTGCATGCAGACACCGCACACCTAGCAGGACCATCTCTGATTCCACTCGTAGGGAGCTATTTGATTAAGAGGTTAAGATTTAAAAAGTAAAGAATATTTTGTTATTTTTATGTACGTTTCTTTACAAAGCTATATTTAATTATAATTTTCTTTAAAAGTATATTCATACAATTGAAGAATATGTTGTACCAGATATGTACCGGTACATCCACCACACATTTTATTTCACCAAGTAAGTTTTTATTATTTTATTTCTAATTTTAGGCCTTCTATCATGGCTAACGATTCAGAATGTAATTATGATATTGAAACTTTATTTTAAAAAGTTTTGACTCAAAATCATATAATGAAAAAGAAAAAATTATTAAAAGAGAAAGGCCAAAGTCTAAGTTAAATATAAACACTTTAATAAAAAAATTTGTTCGACATTTTCACGATAAAATGGCTCTGTATATGCATAAAAATGCGAAAATTGTTTTGTTGGCCTAGCTTACTATTTTCAAATGAAATTAGTGTGTGGAATAAGAATGGCTTTGACAATTTAGCTGGCAAAAGGCACGAAAAATTGTTGATTCTTTCGTATTTGAAGCAATTTGGAAATCAAAGTGGAATAGAATTTAACATTAGTAAATAATATAAAATAAATATTGAAAATTATAATGAGATAGTTACAGCTAATAGAATATTTAATAGATGTTATGTTTTTATCAAAGCAGGAATTGGCATTTAGAGGGAATAGGAAATCTATTGAATCTAATAACAGAGGGTAATTATATTGAACTTGTTTATTTAGTAAGTACGTCAGATAAATAATCTATTAAAAATACATTTCGAGAATTAACTGATTGCCCCTGGAAGTCAGCTTTTACAGAAACAGCTTCCCTATCATTAAATGTGATGGCACGCCACTGTATTTAATAATGAATGTTTTTTAAGTGACAAAAAACAAATTTATCTAAATAAGTTACTATTAGGCTTCTTTCTAAATTCCAAAAACTTCAATTTATTCATTTTTAATAGTGTTTTCAAAACCAAATCAAATAAGATCATGGGGAATTTTTCTCATAGATTAAATTTTACTATTGAAATTTCAAAATTGATCTAAAGCAATGAAATAAGCATATGTTGTTAAGCTTAATTAATGTGTTTAACAATTTTTATACTGAATTAAAAATTTAGGTAATTAGAAAAAAAATTTTTTTTTTGTTTTGCCCCAAGGAAATGTATTTCTAAAAACCAATAAATAGAATATTAGATATTTATTTATTAAATTAATCTTTAATGTGATAGGAAAAGGATAAATTAGGAAAAGGTAAAGTAAGTGCTTTGGTGTATGAGATGAATTTATAACAAAATGTATAAATCGAACGCTTAGTACAACGAACAGATTAATTTATTTAATACTGCTTTTTAACTAATTTAATAATTACTTTTAATACCAAATATTTCAGACTGTATAATTAATTATTTATTTTTATTTTATTATTATTTTTTTTTATATATTAATAAAGTTATTAGTATTACGTAAAATAAAGTACATGACCCATTTCCATACATATTAGTGCTGATATGTACCAAATTCACAAATCTACATCCAGCAATTCTTAAATTATAGATTTCCCAAAACTGTAAAATCAACAAAAATCACAATTTGAGAAAAACAAGTTTAAAGTTTTGAAACAGAATTATGCATATAAAATTGTTAATTCTGTTTTAGAAAGCTCCTGCTTCATATACTATGCCCTCTACAGGTCTCAGAGTTACTCGCTTTTCTCACTTGTACTCACCTTTTTGAAGTATCCTCACTTTTCTCACCTTTTGAGTCATTTTTTCACTTTTCTCACATTTTTTTTTATTTCCTCGTGCTTAAGATGTGGGAATCAAAAATAATTTTAAAGCCAAATGGCCTGCCAAATTATCAGACTATTGAACTAGAATTTTCTGGAAGAAAATACTCGGTCCTGAGCAGGACTCAAAACTGAAACTTCTGCTTAGTGTTGTTAGGTTATAGGAAACAAAAATTCCTTTCTGGTATGTAAAAAGTTTCGTGCGCTTAAAAAAATTCCTCTCATTACAAATTCAGAAGCCAATATTGAGTAAAGTTATGTACTCACGCCATATTATCATTATTAGCCAAAATCTAGTTATTCAGAGTTGCATTTCTATCTATGGGGATTAAAAATAAGTATTTTAAGCATCCCTACATTTTTAGCTGTTTTCTAAGGAACTCCCCAAAATTCCTTTGTAGGGGAAAACACACTGAGAGATTAATCTCAAGCTGACAACACTGCTGCCACTTCTAAATTTAAAATATAATATAATTATTAAAATTAACTCGAAATAGTGGCGTAATCTCCCACCTCGAGACCAGGGGTGGCCAACAGTTTGTCCCCAGGCCAAATTGGAAAGAAAACTTTTTCCAAGAGTCGAACTAAAGGCTGCCCTAGGAAGATTTTTAGGTGGTGTGAGATCTCATTGTGGTGTCACCCCGTAGAGACTAAATTGTATGTAGAGATTACAGATACATTTTTTGCATTATAATGCTTTATCAACATTTTATGCTGTACTTAACTCTAAACACACAGTGAGTTGCTGGCTTTTTTTTTTTTTTTTCAGGCATCAGAATTTTTCATCAAGCCATTCGGACTCCAGTAGCTAATATTGAAAAATTGATCGTGGGCCACACAAATTCATTAGATGAGCCAGATCTGGTGGGCCATATGTTGGTCATGCCTGCTCTAGACAAATTATTTTGTTTCTGACCATTTAATTATTCTTTTTATTGCCAAATAATTTGGCAGATCATTTGGTTTTAATTAACTGTTGGGTTATGGAGTTGTCATTTACCAAGAATATTTTTACTTTATTTATCGTTAAATAATTTCATAAATGTGAGTTAAATGCAATAATTATTTTAATGATTTCATAGCATATTATTAACATTTAATCGCATCTATATATTCCGAAATGTATGTTTAAATTGACTACAAGTATAATTACGCCGTGTAGTAAGTATTATTTTCATAAAATGTGTGATTATTTTTTTGTGAAATATCCATTTTTTAATCTCATCTCTTATGCTGATTATAAGTGTGCATCAATTGAGACTAAAAATGTAAATGAAAATGTAAATTCATATTTACAGATTGAATTTTTTTATTCATTTGGTAAATGTTGTAAAAGGTAAAACACGTGATTACTTGCGGGAAAAATTTTCACATGCTTCCCAAAAGGTTAACAACGTTGTAATGATGTTGCTTTTTATTCTTCTGCAGGAAAAATTTCTTTGTTATTTATGAAATCATTAATAAAACATTATTTTACTTATACTATTTGAAATTGTTTATTTCAAATTTATTAATTTATTTTGAAATCAATATTTACATGTCTCGAAGCATTAAAAAATAAACAGTTTTTGATCATGATAGATGTCCCAGTGTAACCTAATTAGTGAAATCAGCATTGACCCTCTCTCATGGCAATGCTGATGTCAAATAGGGATTTTCAATTTCATGCCAGGCACTTCCTCCTGATAGAGCATCAATGTCGGAAAGAGTGCTTGAACCAGAAGAAAGTGAAATACATGCAACAGGACAAGTTTTGTTAAAAGCAGCAAACAAAAAAATACTGGAAAAGGTCATTAACAGCAAGAACATGAAAGAAGTATGGGC